GGTTTTCGTACGTCGAGAGAGGACTTTACTCCTGAATTGCCTACTCAGTCCAAAGTAGCACTTGTTGGCAAGAGTGATTCTACGTTGGATTTCAATGCTGACATTATTATCGGTGTTAATGCTGGTTCCCAAGTAAACGAAAACATGTACACGACACATTTACAAAACCGGCACTCAAGTACACAATACATTGACAAAAACTGTACTAGACTGTCTCGCTTTGATTTCGGAATGCTTACACATTGAGATGTTAGCTTACTATCAATATAGAAGTATTACATATATGAGCCCATATTGCTCATTGTTTAAGCCAAAAACCGCCCCCTTAGATGTTTTCATTGTTCATGCTTATGCTCCATACTCTAGAGTAGACATGATGAGTTACTTATAGAGCGTGATCTTTGCACAACGGCTTAGATAACACCTTATAGCGATGTTTAGATGAATGGTTCCGCGGTAGTTGGCGGCTATGACGGGGTCGCCCGACTTGTAGATTGGGCAGAGTACAATAAAATTTCAGTCGTCCTGCATAGTTTATACCTCGTAAATGTCGGTCGTTGGGCCTTCGATTCCGTCATCTACGGGTGGGTTTTGTTCCATATCGGCGTCTCCGCTGTTACCATTACATAGTGCTTTTACCTCTTTAATTTAAATATGGTTCACTCATCGATCTTTAAATCGCTGTGGTTGCTCTCACATGACTTAGTCCTTTCTTGGAACCTTCTCTAAGTCGCCCAACCTTCTTTTTTACTAAAATGTTCGTACGCTTTTGCTGTAGGATTGCATTTGAAGCTCTCCTTTTACTACAAAAATACACCAGAGTTTCCTCTGTGGCATAGTCAATTCGACTACCGGGTGTTTTTCAGATTCGCTGAAATGCAAGTATTTCTTCTTCTCAGACAGCAGGTGAAGGAGTAAAGTGCCCAAGATGCTGGCAATCTGAGGAATTGCAGCTCTTCAACGTAGAGCTTTCCATGCATTATTTTCTTTGCGCAAATTTTTTTCTGCACAGGGTCCACCAGATAGTTGACCTAGTTTTCTCCTTGGAACCACTTTGGCTAGAACCTATCGCTGCAGACTTCCATTTGTCTAGGGTCTGCGAAGTCCATCAGCCTCAGACGGTACCTTTTTGTCGTAGCGGTAGCATTTTCCGATCCCTTTTTCGAGTAACGAATTTACTCATCCCCATATGTACTAATCAAAGTAAGAGCTTTAAAGGAATCTGCTCATAGACTACGCCTAATTGACATATACTTGCGTTTTAAAAGCCTTCACAAGTAAAAGTCCAGGGGACTCCAATCACACAATCTTGGTGGCTAATTCACATCACCCCATTGGGAGGTAACCATACACATGTCGCCCACATTTTTCATTTGGGTTCAAAATATCGGTTATCACCGCTCGGCACCAAAAAATTAACACCAAATAATAGACTTTTTTCGATTGTAATGATGCCTGGCAATCCTCGGGCGTCTTCCCATATATGTTAACAACGATAATATAGCATTATCCTTTGCATAAAAAATAAAAAATAGGTTTATTCGATTACAAAATTAACCACACCATTGGCCAAGCTGAAAATATTTCACTGTCGCCTGTTTATCGGAATTTCAGTTGGGTTTGAAACCAAACCACATACATATTTATCTGTGTTCGTTTCTAAAACCCGCCTAAGTCCAATGGTTTACTTTAAAATAATGTACATACTGTTAAGCGTTGTATATCAGCTACAAGGCAATAATATTTCAATAGCTAGTATAAGAGGTTCGTTGCGCCTTGTTGACCGAAAATTTGTATTATTAATTTGCATTCAAAAATTACTCACCTCCCCGTCTTCGTTATAATCATCTCTGTGCCCAATTCATGAAATTTATCCCACAACTCCTTCGTCTCCAGGTGACACTGCACCGGCAGCAACTCATCACAGTTACAAGAGCCAACAATTTTCGGCGCGGACTGTCAACAAAACGAAAAAAACTAAATTAGTCACGAATGTGTTCCTCGGTAAAAAAATGGGTTTTGCTGACTTTGCGTTTTACCTGCGCTGGCTCCGGCGACAGGCGGTCCTCGTCGTTCGCTGTAGGGCTACTAGGACTGTGTGGCGAAGCGCGCCCCCGACTACTGCTGCGACTCGAATGCTGTTGACCACCAGCGCCAAGGCTAGTGCTCCCATTTGTATTGCTGCTGGTGCTATGATTGAGATGAATCTGGTGGTGGTGGTGATGCCGTTGCAATTTGTGATGCGTTTGTGATTGTTGCTGTTGTTGTTGTAATTGATGGCGATGATGCCCACGCATTGGACGCGCCGACGGCGATTCGGAGTCACTGCAATCGACGACATCCACATCGACATCATCGTCGGGATCGGGGTAACGCTCCACGGAAACCGGGCCTGTAGTCGAAATAAAATGTGGAATACATAAGAAAAGTGTAAATTTCAGAGCTCATTCAAGGCCGACAAAATATTCAACTACGCTACGCGCATGAGTAGGCCCCAAACAGTATTATGTTGCAGACAAAACGCAACTCCTACCACGGCGCATGCATCAACTTCTCGCTGTCAAATGTTGCAAGCAATTCGAGTGACAGACAGAATGGCACCTCTGTTATCGCTATTATTTATGCTGACTCAAATATGTATATACATACATATATATTTACATTCCTATATTGCAACCTGTATGCACTCACTGCCGCTAATGAGCTACAATTTTGCACAGACACACATGGGCTGCCGCCAATTGAATTGGCTGCCATTCTGACAGCAGCAACAATGTGTGGCAACTTACATCTACAAGCAGCGGTGGCTTTCGGTGGGCAAATGTACATATGTATGTACATTGTACATGCAACATGCCCGCAGTGCGTAATAGGCGCCGCGTAGATGCATATTTCAGATATGGAATTCAATTATTTGTTTTATGAAATTATTTTATGCAAATTCATCGTCCAATTGGCAGTGCCGCAATTTGCACAATATTCTCACATATTTATTTATGTACATATTCCGGCTGTGTGGTAATTTGTGAGTGTCTATTTTATTTTTTTTTCGTACAACATTGATTTTCTACAATTATGCCTATAAATAATTTAGATAATTTGCTCAATAACTACGCACGTAAATAAATCTTTTTATATGAATGTAATTTTTGACGCTGATTTTATTGTAAATGTGCTGCCACAATTATCAAGTCATCAAAGCTTGTTCATTTCCATCATTCGCATATTATTAACATGAAGCAATTTTTTGATTTTTTTGCACTAAGGTATTAACTTGTTTAATAGCACCCCTCACGCCACAAACTCGTATGTATTAAGCGTTTAAGCTGGATTGTGTTAATTATGTTTTTGTTTAGCTTTCAAAAACTGGTTCAATGCAGCTGCAATAAAACGAAGCCAATAAAACAAGGCTTCGGAGAAGGTGGATTTTGATCTCATTTTAAAGAACTATCAATTCTAAAGAATTGTGGTGAAAAAACGAAAAAACTCTTATTATTCGTGTTTATTGCGGGTCTTTAAAACAGGGGTTCTTAAACTTTTAAGATGATGGAACCCTTACTAAACACCTTTAATTTTATTGCTAACGCCCATTCACAATGAGAATACCACAAAATTTAAGCCTTCGGAAAGTTGTATTCTTTCTACAAAAAATAGAAGGTCGATCACGTAGTCTTTTGAAGAATATTATAATATTTGGTGATAGATATATGGTATTTTAGAAATTCTACGAAGAAAAACCAAACGTCTGTCCCCGGTATTAACATTAGCCTAAAACTCTTTCAGAGACACAAATTTAAATGTGTGTTTCAATGTCGAAGTACCCGGAACATCTATGATTGCTTCGTAAGCGAATTTTGTACCAAACCGATATTACTACTACCATCCGAAAAATAATCTGACAAAGATTTCAGGTGATTTACCAAGTGCCCAGTTATGACATTTCACATATAATTTGGCAATTCATCGCGTTCCTTCCAGAAAGTTGTATATATTTCTTTGGCTACAGCGCACATAGGGGTGTTTGAACGATTTAGGCACCAATTAGGAACCAATTTGACAAAATTTTGAAGGAAACTTAAAATTGATAGAGAATGAGAGAGAACATTTCCCAGTTCCCTTCACTTTTTTAACTTGCACAGCGAACGCTCACCGTTGACCGGAAACAGAATATTTTAACGCAGCATATAAATAAATTTTCGCTCTCTAGAAAGATCGTGACGGTTTTAAGTTAGTACTTTAGTTTCTGCATTGTATTCTTTAAAAGTATTGATGGATCCGCATGCAGAAGGTATTTGTTTAATTTCTTTATTAAGCAAAAGTTCAGTTTAAAAGTAACGAAAATAGTGGTTTTCAACGAGTATTTTTTTTAGTTTTTGTTGGATATTAAGGAATTTGTTGTATCCCCGGGAGAGATCGCGTTATTATTCTTTGTTCAATTGAAAGCTTGGAAATTTGGCTGATGTAGTGTGAAAAGATTTCCCGCAGAAAATGGCAAATAAGTGATATTTATTTACTTAGAAAATGTATTAAAGAAAAATCTAAAAACGCAACTAGTATATAGTTACACTACTTTAGATATATTTAAACAATGACATTTAACTTTTTAGATGAATTTGAGGCCGCTGGACCAGATTATGAATCCAATTAATTAAAAACAAATAGTCTCGGTATTAGCCTTATTTTCCATACAACGGTAATTTACAGAAACACGAAAACTGCGCTAAATCGGTAACTACTGAAGCTAATTCACTCAAAATCGATTCTTGGAATAACCTTTTATCATTAAATAAGATTATTATAATTTTTTGGATAATAGGCGTGGCGCCGCCCACTTATGATCACAAATGTATACCTCGGTAACCCATTTATCAATTCGTACCACACTCGGTGCACTTAATAACCGTGGTATGGAAAAGCAATACGGTGAAAATATTTCAGTAATTGAGGACGCTCATTTACTTCAAGCTAATACTTACAACATTTTCTTAACAATAAATATTACTCTTATTATTACAAACCTGTAATTTTATTTCATTTTCCTACCTATACTGTGGTTGTACATATTTGAATTATCTAATTCTCTAAATTAAAGTTGAATCTGATTTTTTAAACCGGTGTCAACCCTGGGAGGTTGCTTAGAGATAAAGCCTTTTCAAACCCACTTCCATTGATACCCATATTGCAGCAATTCATTTAACTAATTGATATAAAGTTTCTCCTCGCCGAGACGAACACGTAAATATGCGTCTTTGTTTTGATGGAAGAATTGGACGTCCTCCCCTTATATTTACTTGATTTTAAACATTTACAATTCTATATGTCAAAACACGTCTTTTCTAAACATTTCGAGTTGAAATATTCATAAAAATAATTTTGGCAAATACCCCTATCTGCCAACTATACATACAGGTTAGAAATAAAATTATAGTTTAAAAACTAAATCCTCCCTATTATAATTGCCATTCGTACTGTCATCAGGTATGTAACTTGAGAATAGAAATCGCTGCATCTTTTAGGCGCATCAATATTACATAGTTACATCCCGAGCTAATAAAAGGAAGGTAAAAAACAAGCTGTCAAGCACAAGCTCAACGCTCTTATGCAGGTACGGCAATCATACCAACTACGAGTACATATATATGTATACTTGAAAATATATAATATCGTCTCGGTCAAGCTATTTATAGAACTTTTCTTTCTGTGTGCAAATCAAACCGACCGCCGTGCTTATTCATACCAAAATTAATTTCGCGGAACCCCGGTGACTTTTCTAAGGAACCCTTGGGTTCCGCGGAACCCACTTTAGGAAGCTCTGCTTTAAAAAACGGCAAGCCAAATTTTCTACTTTATTAGTCTCACTTTAAATAGGCTCTAACACAAGAAAGGTATTAGATTGAACAAGCAAAAGTGTACTTATTATTGACACTAATTCCATCATTTAAATCTTTTAGTGGCCAAAAGTCTCTCGGTAATTCAAACATATGGCAAAAAAACAGTAAGGAGAGTGTTGTCTTCGGCTAAGCCGAAGGCTTCTAGTTTTCATGAACATCAGAAAATTGTACTTCAACCGAATACTGCATTTTAAATCAGTTGCATGGGAGCTAAACAAAATTTTACCTTCACTACACACAAAGATAGAGATATTTAAAATCTCATATCTGAACAATCAGTGGTATAGAATATATGCCTTATAAAGCACCGGTTTTAGCCGTCTATGTGAAGGAGGATCCCATTCTGAACAATCAGTTGTATGGAGGTTGTAAGTTATAGTGACCCGATCTTTGTCAGTTTCACTTAAGCTTTCTGTTGGAAGTGCAAAATTTCATGTTCCTAGCGGTGTGAGGCTGATTGACTTCGCTGGGACCTAAAGCGTGGTACTATTCAGTACTAGGTTCACACATAAAAAGATCCGTCAAGCTACGTGGCTGTCTTCACATCGAAAAAACGAGATATATGTATAATCGGCAGTGCTGTTTGTGATAGACGGAATGCATGATTGCAGTGTTTAAGACATACAGTATTGGCCAATACAATAGCACCCCCATTTCAAAGTCATATTGTTTGCCACTCATGTTTATTTATTTATTTTTAAGAATTTTCAATTAAAATACAGTTCATTCTCTGACAAAACTCACATAAACTTAAGTTTAAAACTTTTTAAAAGCCGCAAAAAAGTGCAACAAATTTTCACCCAAATTTCAAACTTTTTTCTCAGAAGCGGTAGAATTTTTTTGAATAAACAGTTTTATAGCCCATTCGATTTTAGTCTAATAATGTGCAAGTAGATATGTTCAATACTGTACGTACACTCCGAGGTCCAAACATCGACTCGGACCACTATCTTTTTACAGAAAAGACACGCACCCGCCTCTGTGCAGCAAAAAAAATGTATCCAAAACTGTAAGGAAAGCTCAATGTCGAAAAGCTGCAGTCACTACATACCGCCGCCGAGGAAGTATTCGGACTTCAGCGAGTCCGCAAAAACAGATATTGCCTGCACGGCCTCGCTGCTATCGGGCGTAACGCGAGCTGTGTGGCAAAGTCGAAATATTTACGTGAATAGTAAGAACTTTAAATGCTGGCCGATAGAAAAAACGCCCGAAAATTTGGTCTTGGAAAAGACCTAGAGGAAAAGGATCGGCACTCACCGTCTATTTGTCAATTTCAAAACCGCTTTCTACAGCACGAAAAGAAGTAATACCACCACCTCCGTCAGAATTGGGAAAAACTTATCCGAGCCGTTTGCTAAGGATTCATATTATTGTATAATTATTTAGGTTTTCCAAACTTCATACATATTTACCCTGAATAAGAAGCAATAATATAAAGAATTCACATAATGCAATTTCGGTCTAAGTAAATTTCATTTATGTCCGCATTTCGATATCCGCC